TATCCATGTCTCCGAAATGGCCACAACATCGAAGTCCCAGGTACCAACCCATGCTGCAAGTTCACCCACCTTATTCCGGTTGCTCCTGGCATTGAAGTAGACACACTTCAAACCACCTTCCTGCCTGCCAGTGCATTCCTGCGACCTTGAAACCTTATTTATGACCTCACTACTCTCAACCTCCTGTACACTGGAGCTACAATTCAGGTTCCCAACCCCCTGCTGAATTAGTTTAAACCCTCCCGAAGAGCATTAGCAAATTTCCCCCCCAGGATATTGGTACCCCTCTGGTTCAGGTATAAACCATCCCGTTTGTAGAGGTCCCACCTACCCCAGAATGAGCCCCAGTTATCCAGGTATCTGAACCCCTCCCTCCTGCACCATCCCTGTAGCCATACTGAAACTCTTTGAAGGGCAGCACCTTCCAAACCCCTCTGCTCTACCATCTATAAGGGTGTGAGTAGCAGATGTATAAAAATAAAACTACCTGTGAAGCTTTTTTTCCAAAGCACAAAGTGCTTGGGCCAAAATTCTGGAACAAGATTCTGTGCTGGTGGTGTACCTATGGCAGCTAGAATGTAATAGTTCCGGAAATGGATCAGCGGTGCTTCTCCATTGTAACTGGAAGTGAGCAGGAAATGTTGACTCTTCTGGTGATCCTTTTGCTACGTAAACCAGTATTTATGTAAAAAAGTTTTCTTTTATTGACACCTTTCCTTCCTGCGCAACACAGTCATTTCTTGGTTATTTAAACTATGCTCTACAATTATTTTACTGTTGCCTTTTTAAGTTATTCTGAAATGAAGGCATCATCAGCTTGCTTACTGAATTGAACACATCAGAGTCCTTGAGCATCATATCAGACTTCCTTACTCCCTAGTGGGAGGGACAGACTGGATTAAAAATAATCCATATGCTTTTTTTTTCCTATACCCCTGTGGGAGATTAGGGTTCAGGAAACTGCTGCATTTTTGATGGTAAAGATGTGTACTTGCAAAGCCACAATGATCATATTTGGTGGAAATGCCTTTTCAGTATTAATGAGACAACAGAGTACAGTCCTTGGATTAACCTTGTCAGAGCTTTACCATGTAATGAGCTGTCCACCTTTGCCTTGCCACTCATGATTAGTGAGAAGCTGGTCTTGGTTGCAACAGAGGAATTGAATACATGGGGTCATTTGTGTCAGTCTATTGTCTACTTTTCATTTAGAAGTGCATGTACCTGTTGAAATTTTTGAGGTGCTGTGTATTATAGGACGTTTACAACTGCAATGACTTATGTTTACTACCGGAGCCAACTGGAAAGAGGATAGATCTCAATGATCACTAGACTTTCAGAGAGTTGAGAGTATTTGAGGGAGAGTTGAATATTTCTTAGTACTGATCATCAGCTGCACTTAGCAGTCCTTAAAATCTGGTTGCCCTTTTTCTACAATTGGAATCCTTGGCATTCTTTTCTATTTTTAAACAAAAAACTTGGCCTATTATCTCTTTGCTTCAGAGTTCCCTGAAGACCCCGCCTTTTTAACTAAACTTGTGAATGCTCCCCACTAAGCTTTGTCTTTCTGTACTCAGTAGTGTATTCTTCACCTCATAAAGTGCTTAGAGGTATTTGAGAGGGGGGCTGTGCGAAAGCAGAGCATCTTTATTCTGATAGTAATGCATGAAGTTATAGTGTTTGAGCTTGTACACCTCAGTTATGTTCCATTTGGAAAACGTTTGACAGTATAAGTCAGGTTCCAGAGGAGCAGGAGCAGCTTTTTCAGCTCCTTTTTAATCTGTTTCTCAAATTAATAGTGGGTGAATGTACCTCAATCTCATTTTATTCACCCTTGGTCATATTGCTTGAAAGAATATCCTTTTGTAATAACTAACTATCAGAGTGGGACTGGAAAACTTAAATTATCCTATCATCCACAGCCTTCTGAAGTAGCAAGTTCAGACTTTAATTCATCCTTCAAAAGGCCTGATTGATTTTGCCGCTTAGAAACAAACCCCAATTTTAAGCTTTGTCTGCAACAAAGTGTAGTAGTTTTGTTAAAAATACTAGATGTTAGATTTTAATCAGTTGGTGGGTTACTGTGGGAAAGCGTGACTGTTCAATTAAATTTATGGTGCTTGAAGACCTGTTTGTAATAACTAAGCTACTAAACTGAAATTTTTAGTTGGCGAGAAGCTGAGAATCATTGCTTCTTAGAATTCTGCAGAGTAAATTGCTAATTGCTAGCAGAGTTTGCAAATAATTGCATTTATCTTGACAGAGGAATTTTCCCATGTAAGGGAAGAGGTGCCCGTTGAACTGGTGGAGGCTCATGTGAAGAAAGTGCAAGAGATGGCCCGTTCTTCTGGGAAAGTGGATCCTTCCTATGGCCTGGAAAACAGTGGTATTGCAGGCACCGCCCTTGAGGAACCAGAGAAGACTGGTGAGTTAAATTGACGTCAGCACTTTTCCTGCAAATTGAGATTGCGTTACTCTGGATAAGTGTTTCAGGTTGCCTCATTAATGTATGATTCTGATGAGCTAGAATGACCCATCTGTTAAGAACCCAACTGGGTGTTGGTGAGTAGGTGTTGCTTGATCGCACTGTTGATACAATCTTCCGTCAGAATCGAGAGTAGACTTGGGCAGTAATTGGCCAGATGAATTTCTCCTACTTTCTTTCACTGTTGACACTCGTGGCGACTTTATAAATGATATCGTATGTGTAAAAGACAAAATATGTTTCCAAGCCATGTTCTGGCTAAATCACAGCCTGGAAATGGCTACCATGAAGAAATGAAATTTTGTCACATTCACTCATGAAAGATAGGCATTGCTGGCTGGCCAGTATTTATTGCTTATTCCTAGTTGTGATTGAGAAGGTGGTGGTGACATGCCTTCTTGAACTGCTGCAATCCATGTGCTGTGGGGAGACCCGCAATGCCCTTGAGGAGGGAATTCCTGGATTTTAACCAATGTCAGCGAAGGAATGGCAATGTATTTCCAAGTCAGGATGGTGAGTGGCTTGGAGGTGATCTTGCTCCCCTTGCCCCTCTAGATACATGTGGTCATGTGTTTAGAAGGTGCAGTTTTAGGATCTTTGAATTTCTGCAGTGTATCTTGTAGATAGTACACACTGCTGCTACTCTGTGTTGCTGGTGGAGCGAGTGAATGCTTGTGGATGTGGCGCCAATCAAGTGAGCTACTTTCTCTTGGATTGTATCAAGGTTCTTGAGTGTTGTTGGATGAGCACCCATCCAGTCAATTGATAAGTATTCCATTATGTCCCTGACTTGTATCCTGTAGATGGGGGAGTGGCTTTGGGGAGTCAGGAGGTGAGTTACTCGCTGCAGTATTTCTAGCCACTGACCTGCTCTTGTAGCCACTGCATTTATGTGCCAAGTCCAGTTGAATTTTTAGTCACTTATAACCCTCAGAATGTTGATAGTGGGGGCCTCCATGATGGTAACACCATTGAATTCAAGGAGCGGTAGTGAGATTGTCATTGCCTGGCATTTGTGTGGCAAGAATGTTACTTGCCACTTGTCAGCCCAAGCCTAATATTTTCAAGGACTTGTTGCATTTGGGCATGGACTCCTTATGTATCTGAGGATTCACAAATGGTGCTGAACATTGTGTGCAGTCATTGCCTTACATTCCCACTTTTGACCTTACGATGGAGGGAAGGTCATTGATGCAGCAACCAAAGATAGTTGGCCCTACGACACTACCTTGAGGAAGTCGAGCAGAGGTCACTGACCTCAACAACCATAGCCATCTTCCTATGTGCCAGATATGATTCTAACCAGCAGAGAGTTTGCCCCGATTCCAGTTGCTTCCAGTTTGGCTAGGGTCCCTTAATGCCACACTTGGTCAAATGCAGCATTGATGTCAAGGGCTGTCACTCTTACCTCACCTCATCTCTTGAGTTCAGCTCTTTTGTCTGTTTTTGAACCAAAGCTGCACTGAGGTCAGGAGCTGAGTGGCCATGGAACCCAAACTGGATGTTAGTGAGCAAGTGCTGCTTGATTGCACTGTTGATACAATCTTCCATCAGAATCGAGAGTAGACTTGGGCAGTAATTGGCCAGATGAATTTGTCCTACTTTTAGTGTGCAGGGCATGCCTGGGCAATTTACCACATTGTCAAGTAGATATCAGTATTGTAACTACTGGAACAGCCTGACTCGAAGAGTGGCAAGTTTTGAAGCACAAGTCTTCAGTCCTTTTGCCAGAGTGTTGTCAGGACCCAACTGGGCCTTAGCAGAATCCAGTGCCTCCAAATGTTTTTTGATGTCACATAGAATAAATCTAATTGCCTGTAGATACTGGAGACCACTGAAGGATCATCCACTTGGCACATCTGGCTGAAGGTTGTTGTGAATACTGCAATGTTGTGTTTTGCACCGGTGTGTTGAGTTCCCTCCATCGTTGAGAGTGGGGATATTTTTGGAGCTTCCTCCTCCAGTGAGGTGTTCAATTGTCCACCGCTATTCATGACTGGATGTGGTCGGACTACAGAGCTTAGATCTGATCTGTTGGTTGGGGATCATTTAGCTCTGTCTCTTAACTGGTGCTTATGCTGTTTGGTAACTTCACCAGATTGACGCCTCATTTTTAGGTAAGCCTGGTGCTACTCCTGGCATACCCTCCTGCACTCTCCATTGAACCAAAGTTGATCCCTGCCTTGATATTTATGGTTGAGTGGGCCATGTGGTTGCACATTGTGTTGGAATGCAATTTTGCTGCAGTTGATGTCCCACAGCACCATTGTTTGAAGTCTTTCACATTTAGCCATGACAGTGCCACCCAGCATGATGGATGATATTCTCAATGAGAAACTGGGACTTCATTTCCATGAAGACTGTGCTTTGGTGTCTCTTACTGATATTTTCATGGACCTATGCATTTGCAGGTTGATAAGGATGAGGTCAATCACATTTTTCCCTCTTGCTGGTTCGCTCACCACCTGTTGTTCTAGCAGCTACGTCCTTTAGGACTCGACCAACTTAATCATTAGTGCTGCTGCTGAGTCACTTTTGGTGGTTGACGTTGAAATCCCCCAACCAGAGTATATTCTGTACCCTTGCTGTCCTTGCTTCCTCCAGTACTGATTCATCAGCTGAGTGAAGACTATATGTAGTAAACAACAGAAAGTTTGCTTGCTCATGTGTAACTTGAAGCTGTGAGGCCTCGTAGGGCTGAAGAAAATGTTGACGACTCTCAGGGCAGCCCCTTTTTGATTATGTATCACTGTGCTGCCACCTGTATTGGGTCTGTCCTGCTGGTAGGACTTGACATATCCAGAGATGATGATGATGGTGGTATTGGGACATTGTCTATAGGTATGATTCAATGAGTATAACTATAAGGCTGTTGCTTGACTAGTCTGTAAGAATGGCTGTCCCAATTTTACAGTGACTTCCAGAAGTTAGTAAAGAGGAAAGCTTTTGATATTTCTGGTGCCTAGATCGATGCCAGCTGGTCCATCAGGTTTTATTTCCTTTATTGAGACTGCATAGCAATTGATACAACTGAATGGCTTACTATGCTGTTTTAGAGGGCAGTTGAGAGTCAACGACGTAGCTGTGGTTTTGGAGTCACATGGAGGCCATACCAGGTAAGGATGGCAGACTTCCTTCTCTGAAGTACACTAGTGAACCAAATGGGTTTTTCAGACAATCAACAATGGTTTCATGGTCATCCGTAGATTTGTCTATTGAATTCAAATTCTACACATTCAAACCTGTGCCCCCAGAACATTAGCTGAGTTTCTTTATTAACAGTCTAGCAATAATACAATTAGGCCATTGCTTCCCTCTATGCTGCAGATCCTGGAAATCTGGAGGAAAAAAAATCAAACAAGCTCGAAATAATTAGATCAAGCAGAATCTGGGGCTAGAGTTAATTTTTTCAGTTGGTAGCATTACTTTTGGGGAAATACGTCATAAACTGGTGACAGCTTTGTGGAATCTGTCCATTCAGTCTACAAGTGGGGCCTTGAGCTTCCTGTTGCCAACCATTTCAATTTTCTGCATTGATTCAACTCCGATTTTTCTGTCTTTGGCCTGCTTCAGTGATCCAGAGAAGCTCTTTGGAAGCTCGAAGTACAGCATCTCTGCTTTTGACTCTGCCCTTGACAGCTTTCTGGGCTCAATGTTTTGTGTTCAACAATTTCCCTTCATTTTTGTTTTCCGCATTTTGTGTGGTTTTTCTTTTGTTTGCTGGTTTGTTATTTTCTTTTGGTTACTTGCTTAATTCATTTTATTTTGCATGGATAACTGAAATCCAGCAACTCTCCTCTCCACATATTTTTGTTTCCTTAGTTCACCCTTAACCACCCACTTTGCCAAAAAGGCTTGTTCTGTTTTGTCTTGAACTTTGCCATAATTCAGATAATGTTTGCACGGTCAAGTAGATGTAATAATTTGTGGTAGTGGCCCTGTCACCCCCTACAGGATGTGACATGTTTAAACTCAGTAAATCTGGTAGTTTCTGGACCTTTAATCAGAGGAATTAATCATGGAAACTGATACAAAAACAAAACTCCCTCCACTCCTATAGGAAAGAGTTGTGCTGCCCCAAGTTGAGGTTGAGGCTGAAAAATACTTCAAGATGTGTGGTACCTGTGGCCAATAGGACATCAGAACAATATTTCATGGATAGTCTTTTTCTATTTGCACCATGTCATAATTCTAGCTCTACCATTGCTTTGTTTCAGCTCCTGCAACATTTGACATTTTAAAAACGCTTGATTTTTATCAACATATTTAATCTTGCTTTAAGGTCTCTTCAGAAGTTCACATTTTTGCTAATATTTCCCAATGTTGATTTATTATTTGCTTTTAGGAGGAATGCTGTTACTCTACAACATGACTAGAATTGGTATCTTATGAAGCAGCATGGGCTTGGAGCTGCATATCATGTTGCATTTAACTATTTTAACTCTTTCCTGCTTTAAGTCAAGCCAGGGGACTGATGTGATACTCTTTCTTTATACTGATGAGTCAGTTGGGAAAATCAGATACGTATTCTGCCTGTCTGAAGCCTCATCTCCTGACTACATCATGGTTTTCTTGCAAGATGCTGGAATTGTATCCCACAAGTAAAGTAAAATTTGGCTTATTCAGGAGCTCCAGTGCACTGTTGAGGCCAACATAATTCTATCAGTGCTGTAAACTACCTGACCTTCGAAGCTCTTGATGCTTTTCCTTGAACAAATTTAAATTTTAGTAATATTAGCTTAATCCCATGGATTGCTTGAAATTGAAGCGTTGACATTTGATTGTTAATGTGAGTACAAGTGACATGCTGATATTTGCATTGACTTGTTTTCCTGTATCCTCAATGAATGAAATGACTTACTGGGTAATGAATTCATAGATTCCCTACAGTGTGGAAACAGGCCCTTTGGCCCAACAAGTCCACACCGAACCTCAGACAT